AATCGATTTTTCTGTATAGAGAGAAAGATAATTCAATCACTGGCTTTATCTGTCACAAAGGATCCCATTAAAGGCTTCAAGTGTGGTACTTAGAGTTTTATGTCTACATCAATAATATGATATACTAAGTAACTCCTGGGGGAAAAAAGCCATTTTTCATTTCTTTCTTATTACTATAATACTGATAGTGAGCATTTTATAGTCCACTTGTTTTGAACATTTAAATTTAGTTGAAGATTTAGGTACTCAAGAGGCATCTAGTTATAATACAACTGGCTTGTCGTTTAGAAGGTTTGCTTATATACATTACACCCTAGTATTAGAGTTTTTCCTTGGTCTTAATTAAGAGAAAGAAGTGGGGGGATTAGTTCAAGCCAAATGTCACAAACCTCTATTATTTTTTTAATGGAGGAATACAATTTCATGTTCAATCAGGTAAAATAAGTGAGGTAAAATGATACACTCACAGCCACTAAAAAGATTTTAAGTGTATGTACAGTAACAGTAATTCCAAAATTGCCAGAAATCATTCCTGATATATATTTTAATTGCAGGTAATTTATATTCATTTATATCCTTAAGCTATTTAAATAATTTCATGCATCTTAACTGAATTATTCACATTATCTAACAAAAATTTCTGCAGGAAAATCAAGTAACATTTTGAGACGAAAAATAATGTCAGTAGAAAAAAACTGTGAAAACTAAATCCAAGAAATATTGAGAAATTAGAAAGTGAGTAAGGGTATTAATTTCATCTCTTTCCCCCTTTAAGGCAACACTTGATCAAAACTTTAAAATAACTGAAGTAAAATCATTTTGAGAGAGCACATTCTCATCACTAGAATAATCAACCTCAAGTGATTAATCCCATACATTTTGAAGCATGGCTTATGTATATAAAACAGACACACATGCGCGCACACACACACACACACACACACACCCCAAAAATGAATCAAGGCCAAAATGTGGCATCCATATTACCAAAATAGTAAAATAATTAAATTTTAAAATCACCATAATTTTGACACTAAGGAACAAGAATGTCCATGGGAAGCGCTGGTGCTTTTTGATCTCTTCTGTCTTTTCTCTGTCTTTTTCTTCTTTTCTTATCTGGAAAAATATATTTTATCTTCTGAAATACTTACAAGTGCTTTGAATCATTTGTATAATAACTATGAAGTACTTTTTCAAAATCTCTGAACTTTTTTAGAGGAGGAGTTATAGAAATAATTTAAATTTTACCTTTCATATTTTATTGTATTAATAATAATTGACGTTACTAAGCCAAATAGACATAGCTTTCACAGAATCAATCTTCACAATTATTGAAATATTTTGTAATTTTTTGGCTAAAATAAAAATAACTTCAATGCATCACTATTTAAATTACACCATACACTGTGCTAAGCACATTTTTTCCCCTTTTATCCTCTGACTTTTTAAAATTTTTATTTGTTGTACTTGAAGTTCTGGGGTACATGTGTAGATCTTGCAGGTTTGTTGCATAGGTACACACATGTCATGGTGGTTTGCTGTCTTCATCCCTCCCTCACCTGCATCAGGTATTTCTCCCAGTGTTATTCCTCCACAACTTCCCTGCCCCCCGCTGTCCCTCCCCTACCCCCACATTCCCCTAACATACTCCAGTGTGTGATGTTCCCCTCCCTGTGCCCATGTGTTCTCATTGTTCAACACCCACCTATGAGTGAGAACATGTGGTATTTGGTTTTCTGTTCTTGTGTCAGTTTGCTGAGAATGATGATTTCCAGATTCATCCACGTCCCTACAAAGGACACGAACTCAAATAGTTTTTTATGGCTGCAGAGTATTCCATGGTGTATTTGTGCCACACTTTCTTTGTCCTGTCTGCCGTTGATGGGCATTTGGGTTGCTTCCAGGTCTTTACTATTGTAAACAGTGCTGCACTGAACATATGTGTGCATGTGTCTTTATAATAGAATGATTTATAATCTTTTGGGTATATACCCAGTAATGGGATTTCTGGGTCAAATGGAATTTCTATTTCTAGCTCCTTGAGGAATTACCACACTGTCTTCCATAATGGTTGAATTAATTTACACTCCCACTAACAGTGTAAAAGCATTCCTATTTCTTCACATCCTCTCCAGCACCTATTGTTACCTGATTTTTTTAATGATCACCATTCCAACTGGCAAGAGATAGTATCTCAATGTGGTTTTGACTTGCATTTCTCTAATGACTAGCGATGATGAGCTTTTTTTCAGACGTTTGTTGGCTGCATAAATGTCTCCTTTTGAAAAATATCTGTTCATATTCTTTGCCCACTTTTTGATGGAGTTGTTTTTTAAAAAAAAATGTTTATCTAATATCTTATTCCTGAAGTAAACTTCATTGTTCTTTTTATATATTTCTAAATCATTTTGCAAAGATTAATATTTTTGTATCTTGGTTTATAAATGGAATTGGTCTGTAAGTTTCCTTTCTCAAAGTATTATTAGAGTATCTTGACATTCCAGTTGAGCTAATAACCTTAAATGTTTGATACAGTTCACCTTTGGGGCTACTGGAGTCGGTTCTCCTTCTGGCAATATTTTAAATATGGATTCAGTTTTTTTTTAGTTCAGTTATAAGGCTGTTTATATCTTGGTAAATTTATTGACATGTTTTCCATAACATGGCTTTTTATATGTTACCTAATATATATTTAATGTCTGTAGGATCTTAGATGGTAATAACTTTCTCTCTTTGAAATTGATAATTTTTTACCTTTGTCTTATTTCTTATTTTACAGATCATTCTACTTACGGGTTTATTAATTTTATTATCTTTTCAAAGAATGAGGTTCTGGCTTTGACAATTCTTTTATATTGGTTTCTATTTCATTATTTTTTGTTGTTATTATTTCCTTTTATCTACATTTAGTTTATCTCTTTTCTAACATCTTGAGCTAGATTCAGAACTTATTAATTTTTTAGTCCTATCCTTTTTCTCATCTATAAAATTGAAGCTTTAAATTTCTAACTTTAGTTGCTTTTCATAATCTTGATATATAGAATCTTAGCTATCTTTTAATTAAAAATATTTTCTTATTTTCTTATAATTTATTCATTGACCTATGGGTTGTAAATAATTATGTCTTTTAATTTCCAAAAATTATGGCAAGATATTATTGTTATTAATTTGTCTTTATTCTACTATGATCAGACATTTTCTGTAGTATTTTAATAATTAAAATGTATTGGGATGTTCTTTGGTCAGTTTTTATAAATATTTTAGGTATTCTTGGAAATAATTTGCATTCTATGGTTGCGGGATGCAACAAACCATATGTCTTATCAAGCCAAATTTGTTAATCCTTTTGTTTAAATCTTCCATGCCTTATATTTTTTCTGTCTTTTCTGTGATATTGAGAAAGTTAATTTAAAAACTTTAATTAATTAATTAAACTCTATAATATATAGTTTAATTAATTTAAACTCTATAATAATTATGAATTTCTCCTTGTAGTTACATCAGTTTTGTTTAGAATATTTTCAAATGATTGTATTAGTTGCATACAAATTTAGAAGTATTTTATCTTACTGGTGAACTGAACATTTTATTCTTAAAATGTGCCTCACTTTATTCCTTTTAATGCCTGTTGTCCTTAAGTTTACTCAGTTTGAAATAATGTATCTATTTCCATTTTTATTTATTTTTTTACATGGTACAGTTTAAGAAACAATTTTACTTTGAAGTAACCTCTCTGTATGTTTTATATACAAATGTGTCTTTTATTATAATCTCACAATCTTTGTCTTTTCATTGAAGTTCTGATTTATTTACATTGATTGTAAGTATTAATCTTTTTGAGTTTAACTCTACAATCTTTATGTTACCTATTTCCCAAACCTGCTTTCTTAAAAAATGTCTTTCTGTTTGCTTTCCATTGGTAGATTAGTTTATATTTTTCTATTTTGTTTACTATTTATTTGGAATTCATACATTATTGTACTTGCTGTTAGAGGCTATTCTAGAGGCTATTAAAAACACATTTGACTTACTAAATCTAATATTAATTAGTACTTTTAGTCTTCTATCCTTCTCCCAGGCAATGAAAAGATCTTAGAACACTTTAAAATCAATCTATGTATGTATGAATCTCTATTTCATCCATCTATATGGATGTCTATGTGTATGTTATATGTATCTATAAATCTGTACATGATTATTTTCCTTAAAGTCTGCTGTATGAAAATTTCCTTATTATACTTTCACTCTTATTTTCACTGGGTGTAGAATTTAATGTTAGTAGCTATATATTTTTTTGCACATTTGATATGGCTTGGCTCTGTGTCTGCACCCAAATCTCACCTTGAATTGTAATCCCTGGAATCCCCACAGGTCAAGGGTAGGACCAGGTGGAGGTAATTGACCAGGTGGACGTAACTGATCAGGTGGAGGTAATTGAATCATGGGGGAGGTTTTCCCCATGCTGTTCTTATGATAATTAGTGAGGCTGGCTAGATCTGATGGCTACATAAACAGCTGGCATTTCCCGTGCTTGAGCTCATTCTCTTTCTTGCTGCCGAGTGGAGAGGTGTCTTCCGCCCTAAGTTTCCTGAGGAACCCCCCACTCCTCCCATACCAGTCCTGTGGAACTGTGAGTCAGATTAAACGTCTTTTCTTTATAAGTTACCCAGTGTTGGGCAGTTTTTTAGCATGAAAACGAACTAATACAACATTGAAAATACTAATTTATTTCCCTTGGTTCCATTGTTTCTGTTAAGATTAAGCTCTTTGTATTTTATGTTCTTCTATTTTACCATGAGGTATCTTTTTGCACATTTCTTTAATTCAGTGTGCTTTGGGAATAACTGAATGTTTGAATCAGTAAAGTGTTGTCTTTCATTAGCTTTGGAAAACTTGGTTAATACTGCCTTTGTTTCATAGACTTCTCTCTTTCTAAAGTTCTAAGTACACATGTGTTGGAACTTCGCACGGTGTCCAATATCTCTCTTACCCAGTCTTGTTTCTGTCTCTCTGCTATGCTTAATTCTCAATAAATATTTTCTGACTTAACTTACAGTTTTCTAATTATCTCTTCAGCTGTGTCTAATTCACGATTAAACACATCTCATTTAAAAATTGTAGCTCTTGTATTTGTAAATTATAGATTTTTGGTTTCTTAAAGCTGAAAAATAATTTTTTTAGTTTTGTTTTCTGCTAAAATTTTTATTCAAACTCTTGAATAAAACAAGCAGTTATTTAAAAGTTTAAGTCTCATAATTACAATATATTCAATCTCCCTTTCAATCTATTATTAATTTTTAAATATTTTTATAAAATTTAGTGTTATTTTTCCTTTGCTATCTCATTTTTATGTTTGTTGAATATTATATTGGAAAATTGTTTATGGACATAATCTGAGTTCTAGACTGGTGTTTTCTTCTGAAGAGGATTTTATTGGTGGCTTCTCTTCCATGTTTTCCAGTTTTTTCATTTGTCCTTAACAGGAGAGTTAGTCCTCTGTAACAGAAAATGCAACTTTTAAATATTATTTGACCTTTTGAATGCACCTTTTAATATTATTTGAACTTTAAAAGGGTAAATATTATTTACCCTTTTATCATTATATAAATTTTATTATTTACCCTTTTATCATTATGTAAATATTATTTACCCTTTTAAAATATTAATTGACATCTGTCTGTGTCTACTTTCTACAATTACCCTAAGCTTAGCAGTTTCTTAAACTCCAATAACGATCAAATAAAGTGATTTGGTGATTTCCTTTGTACATTATTTAGATGTTCTAAAATGTATTTTTTAGGTCCAGGAGTAGTATTGCTTTATCATTGTTGAACTAAATTTTAAATGTATTAGCCAAGGACTATTTTCATCTGAAATTGACACTGAGTTCTGTATGATAGCTATTGGCAATGTTTGTTGAAGCGATTTTTAGGGGTGTGCTATTGAGGACATATAATTATACTGAAGAAGATGTTTCTGTTCCTATCAGCTGGAGTACATAATTTGTCTAAAAACTTGGCTCAGGGTTTCTGGCTTTCTAGCCTCTATATTAGGGAGGTTATATGTTGCGGTGACAAAAAATGGGTGTTGTATCAAGAATGTTTTGAAGCCAGAAGTTATCGTCTCATCAGCTGTTTTACATGGGACATGTTCATTATTCTTTTTATGCCTCAGTTTTCTAGGTTGTTAAATGGGAATGGACAGTGGCTATTTCATGAAATTTACATAATGATAAAATAAGATTATGCATATAAAGTACTTGAAATACTGCCTAGCACTCTTTAAAGACTCAGTAGAGCTAAGCTGTTCATTTTATTTTGATGATAGGGCCTTATTATTTGCCATTTAAGAATGAGGATTGATTAAGGCAGAACTCCTCCTCTCTGGCTCTGATTATTTAGTACTTACTAAACACATATTTATATAGAGCACATATAGAGTAATCTCTAGCTCAAGCTGTAACTCACTATAATTTTCACAAGAATTACTTTCAAGGTTTGACTTTCTGATTGTATATATGTACAATTGTCCTGAAACCCAATTTAGAGCTTAAATTTATGCATGTTTCATTTGGCATTATGTCTATCCTGGATCCTTTTATCTATTACAAAAGTTATCATGTTTGTCCACAAATAACAATGTGTTCATTCAGGTCATTGATAAAAAATGTTAGATTTAGTAGAACCAAGGTGATATTGCAATATGTTCTATGTAACATAATCTGGCTTGAAAATCTTAACATGCTTTTAACAAAATGAAGCAAATTTAATGTGGCATGAGCCATCGCTCTTGTTGTTCATCAGATCGTTATAGTCTTTTCTAAGGGTGAATGAACTTTCATGTTTACTGATTCCTCCAGATGTTTCCTGGGTATCAAGTCAGTGGGTTAATTTGTAGTTTTTATCATCTAAAGACTGGGGCATCATTTGACTGTTTGCAAAATTTTGATGCTCTGGAATTTTGCTAGAATTTTCCACAGGTTATTGCTATACGATTCTGCTTACACTTCCCACAGTATGATCATTTGTGGCTGAGATAATTGCATAATTGCACTTATTTAAAGGAATTGTGTGGGGATTTTTTGGTACACATTCATAAATAACCTCAAGCTCAGCTGCCCTTTTAAAATAGCCAATATTTATACTATGGTTTTTAATTGCTAAAAACTAGTGCATATTTTTTGAGATCCATTTTTCTTGATACTATACCATAAAGTTTTGACTGATGAAGATGACATTATCTTCTTCCCACCCTTTGTCATGAAAGAAATCATTTTTGATGGGAAGCAATGATAGGCTTGGTGTGTCTTTCAACAGACTAATATCTTTCACTTTAGTAGAGCAGTTGTGTCATAACTCTTCCCATGACAGCCAAGTAGAATTAGATGCATTAAAACTCATCAGAAGAAAATTAAGATTACAATATAAAATGTTTACATATGTATTAAAACATTAAATGTGTACATTATGAAGGACTAAGTCAAATAAGAATTGAATTAGGTGACTTTTTTTAGAAATCATTATTTTGTCACATGTTTTATAGACTAACATAATTTTAAAAGTATGAAAGACATTAGCAGGCACCTAATTAAGAATTCCTATTTTGGCCGGGCGCGGTGGCTCAAGCCTGTAATCCCAGCACTTTGGGAGGCCGAGGCGGGTGGATCACGAGGTCAAGAGATCGAGACCATCCTGGTCAACATGGTGAAACCCCGTCTCTACTAAAAATACAAAAAATTAGCTGGGCATGGTGGCACGTGCCTGTAATCCCAGCTACTAAGGAGGCTGAGGCAGGAGAATTGCCTGAACCCAGGAGGCGGAGGTTGCGGTGAGCCGAGATCGCGCCATTGCACTCCAGCCTGGGTAACAAGAGCGAAACTCCGTCTCAAAAAAAAAAAAAAAAAAAAGAATTCCTATTTTTCAGTGGACAAAACAGAAACCCAGAGAGGGAAAATAACTTTCCCCCAAATCACATGGTTTTGGTAGTGAGAAGAGCGATGTCACTTTCAGTACTTTGACTACTTGCTCTTGTAACCCAAAAGCTTACTGTGTGGCAAGACCTGTTTTCCTGGCTTGGCAGAAGGTTTAATAAATGTATTCTGTTCAATCTTATTGTGGGAGGGAAAAAAAGGCAAAATGAAACTTACGAAATAATTGCTAAAGTCAGAAAAAGAATTCACCAGTTTCTTCTTTTCTTTGATGTTTGACTTTGCAGAATGACCTTTGAAATGAAACAAATAAAAGATACATTCTAGTAGCACCATGTGTAGAAGGATCAGGCTTGTGGCAATAATATAATGTTCCAAGGACTTAAAAGTTTCTTCGTCAATTATCATAGAAAAGTTCAATTGTTTGTTCTGAATGAAATGAAATGATGGGCTGCAGAAACAAAATAAAAATATTGAACTCCTGAGAACTACTCAGGATATTCCTCATGACATTTATGCTGGTCACAGTAAAATGTAACAGCATGACTGGGTAACATGTTTGACTTCCTTTTCTCTATTTAAACCATCTCTGCACTCTTTGTCTTGTCTCTGTCACACTCTTTGTCTTCTTTTACCTGCTCAATACATCTTCAGAATTTATTTCTGACTTTTTATCTGCATTACTTTTTCTGTTGTTGTTTGAGACAGAGTCTCACTCTGTCACCCAGGCTGGAGTGCAGTGGTGGGATCTTGGCTCACTGCAACCTCAATCTCCTGAGTTCAAAAGGTTCTCATGTCTCAGCCTCCCAAGTAGCTGGGATTACAGATGCCCGCCACCATGCCTGGCTAAATTTTGTATTTTTTAGTATTGATGGGGTATCACCAAGCTGCCCAGGTTGGTCTCAAACCTCTTACCTCAGGTGATCCACCCGCCTTGGCCTCCCAAAGTGCTGGGATTACAGGCATGAGCCACCACACCTGACCTTATATGCATTACTTTTTATCTGCGTAACTTGTTGCTCACTCAGTGTGTTCCCTTCTGCAATGACACATCTTCAAACTTGATCTCTCAAAATTCCTCCCCAAAACCTTTCTTTAGTAGCTTGCTATTCTAGAGGAACAGGGAGAGGATATTCCAGTGCCTAAGAGCTATGTCCCTGCCCTCAGGCATGTTTCTCTCTTGGAATAATTGCTCTTTTAGTTTTCTAAATGGCAAGTGAGGAAAAAAATGCAATTTAAGTCAACTACTGACTTCCACAATCAATTTTATGCTGTTAAAAAAATTTTGTTTCCTAAGCCATTATATAAAATGAGTCATTTTTATATCCTCATTAGCAAGTAGGTAGTAAAATTTCAAGGTGAGTTTATCTATAGCAAATACATCAAGTGTATTTTTAAGAGTCTGTTTCAGAAGTAGTTATATTTTGGATACTGAATTTATATGCCCCCTTTCCTTTTTATATTTATATTTTATCCTTAAATAGCATTGACAGCTGCACTTAGGTTGCAAATAATAGTGAAGAATGAGTTTTTCTTTTCTTTTTGATATACTTAGCGAAGCAATAATATTGGGTATATTGAAAATTGCAACATTTTAGTTTAATTATATGCATTTATTCTCATATCTCTATGGTCAAGTAATTGGTGATAACTATACGACATAGATATTTTGCAGAGATGTGTTATTCGATCACATAAATAAGCAGTGCTTTCCTAAATCAAAAGACATAGAAGCAAAAGGAAGTACATAACCCAGTGGATTTTGTTGTTCATAGCTTCTCTCCAGTTGCCTATTTTACATATAAAATGAAATCTATTTTATAATCTCCTCTATATGTTCCATTGCCCAGTTGGAAAATAAGTTCACAGAAAAAGAATGACGACTAAAAAATAACTCCTGCTGGACAATATTTTCCATTTTGACAAGATTCAATGGAACAATCCAAGTCTTGCTCCATTTTGGAGTCAAAATTATGTTTGTTATTACTTGTTTGTTTCATTGGAGGGTCTCTGTTGCACTTCAAATCACAGCAAATACAAAGTCAGTGATTTTGTCTATAAGCACAGTTAACTTGACAAGCCTTTTCAAGGATGCTCAAGTCTAGCTGTCATGATTACAAATAATCATAGGCCCTCCAGGCTGTTCTCAAAATTTTGGGTGAGAAAAAATTTGTTTTATGAGCATACTATTGTTAATTCCAGAAAGTTTTAGGTAAAAAGTGTATCTATTTTTAATCCAAATACTTTCTTCCCTGCAATTGCTCCATTGAGTCTTCTTGTTTCCTGCTAAGCCGCACAGGCTTGGTTGAAACTGTCTGAGTTGGATGCTCTTGAAAGCAGCTTGTGTGGCTCTTCAGGGAGGTGGTTTCTGTTTATAGAGTGGCCGTTCCATTTTCCCACTCCCTGCCTTCACCAGAGAAGGAAGAGTACATCAAGAGAAGGTTTTGCTCTCCTCTGGATGCATTTAGGATTAGTGAGATTTCCTCTAAAGGACAGAAAAGAAGTGGCATAGAAAGAGAGCAAGATAGGAAGAGAAGCATATATAAAAGAGGTAAACACAGAAAAATAATTCTACCTTCATTTAATACTTATATAAGGGACATCTCCTGATTAGCCCCTGGGAGGAATCTGAAAAATGAACCATCATTATAAGGCAAATAAAAATAAAGGAGAACATGAAAAGAGAGCTGTTTTGCATGAACATGGGACAAAAGAGCAGAAGATTTGGGTAAGGAAAAAGAAAACTTGATTGTTTTGCTGGAAGGAAGGTACACACTTATTCCAGGAAAGAGAATGAAAAATTGGAATTTGACTTTCTGATCACTGTAATTATCAGTAATGGTCAATTGTAATTATTACAGTTTAGAAAAATGAAGGAATCTGACTGGCACTCAAGCATTTAGTTGCCATGTTATGACCATATCATTTGGAAAGCTGTCATTTGCACTTATGGAGATGAATAATTTCTTTTCCTCTGCTTCATTTTATGTCTTACGATCTGATAGAGAAATGTCTCATTTGTATTCCTTTTATGCAAATGATATGCATTCTGATCACAGGTTTGGCAAGTTTTTCTCCCTTTTGTTGTAATTTCTCCTCTCTGAGAGAAGCATTTGGTCCTCAGTGGCCTACACCTTACCACCTAATAGCATGCTCCAGCTACTGAGCACTCGCTACGGTGGAACAACTCATTGGATAAAACATGGTAGTATTTCTATTTTGTGTTACAGATAATGCTGTTCTGCTGATAAGAGCTTTCACATTTATTATGTCATAGCTTCCTTGTGAGAGAGTATGTATCCTTTTCAGATAAGAAATCTGACTCGGAGAATTAAAAACTATTTTCTTTTAATTTTCTCTTTTTCTCTTGTTCCAGTGCCCATTTATATGACATAAGAAGAAGGTCAAAATTTATTTTCCTAGAGGTTATTCATTATGCCAGTGCCATTTACTAAAAGAAAATCTTTCCTCCTGAAATTATAATAGCATTTTTATCATAAATTAACTTCTCTTGTCCATTTGGATATGTGCATGTATGCATGTCTGTATACATAAATATATGTACACATGTATACATATATTCTTTATGGACTCCTTTCACTCTTAAACAACAAATTTATTGTTAGAGAAAAATGTGCCTTAATATAATATTTAACACGTTGATACAATAATAGGAACAAATATCTAAAAATTAGTATAAAAAACATAAAAATTCAACAGCTGATGGATAACAGATATAAACTGATAATTTGCAGAAGAATTGCAACAACTTCAGTAACAGTTAAGAGACTGTGAATTATAATCCAATATGAGACTGATTTTTACCTATTAGTGAATGAAAAGAGAATAAGCACTAAAAAAGCAAATAATCTCTTTTATAAGATTTGCATATTTTATGAATATAGAATAAGCTGTAGAAGGTTATACATTATGCCTTGGAAAAATGGGCCATATTAATGAAGCAGGAGTAAAAGTGGAGATGAGATTATTAACTTTTAAAATATATATATAGTGTGCGTGTGTATTTTAATTGTCATATCCTCTTCTGAAATGACAGCTCCTCCTTTCTTCCTCTGGAGTCACCCATCAATTTATTTCCTTGGCATAAAAGATGGTCTTTCCACCTCCAGATGGTAGAAATATTTTTGTTATTGTGTGGTAATCCCAGATTGGAAATCAAATATTGTCTCAACCATTATGTTTTTTTTAATGCCAAAAAGAGATGGCAACAAATCCATGTATGATCTAATCCTTTATTCATATATTACTTTTGCAATTTAAAAATTGAATGTGACGAAAATTAGCAAAAATGTACATCTAGAAAATTATAAAATGTTAACAGAAATTCAGAAAAATACAGAAACTTTCTTATCATATGTTTTAATTTGGATTCTTCAAAATCGATCACAGAAATAAAGATTTGTGTCCAAGTAGTTTAGTTGGCAAGTAATGCTAAAAAGTTCTGTTATGGGAGTAGAAAAGTGAAGCAGGGTAGAAGACAGTCAGTTAGGGTATGTGACCACGCCCTTGGCCACTTCATGTTATCCTCCTGTCAAGGGCCAAAAGAGCTGAGCTATTTATGTTCCAACTCTGGTCATATGGATATTGATTCCAGAGGGAGGAATTAGCTAATCTTTTGAAACGTAGTTCACATCAGAGTGTTCCATCACTTTAGATAGAGTCCCAATCACAATTTTTAAACATTAGTTTTAATCTCTCTCTCTCTCTCCCTCTCTCTCTCTCTCTGTCTGTGTGTGTGTGTGTGTGTGTGTGTGTGTGTGTGTGTGTGTGTGTTTTCTCTGTTATTAAAATGAAATTTAACTGATATTCTACAGGTAAAATAAAGGGCCTATAAGAAGACAGACTACAGTTTATTATAAATACCTTTATGCCTTCCCTTTTAACACTCTTGCTGTCATATTTTATATACATACACTTATATGTTTACATCAGCTCCTATTTTCAGAAGACTTTTTTGGTATTTTATTATTTTGTTATGAGGCACAATATTACAACATTGTGAGGCTTTAAACCTATTTCAGCATTTTAATATTTTCTTTTTAAAATTCTCAACATGGGCCAAGTACATTTCAAAGCTAAAAATTCTTTCTCAAATAGATGTAGTTGTCTATTGCCCAGTTTTTGTAATGAATCTCCTCTCGATTAAATTCTCATTTCAATTTTGGTGGCTTGGTTGTTTAGTGAATGAAGGAAATCTTTGAATTGATCTGTTTGATCAAGCTCTCTGGGCACTTGCCACATTCTTTGCTGGTCGTTGATTTGACATCAGCTGATTT